AATTACAGAATATGCAACTCTTTCATATGCGGTATCTGTTTGAGGGTGGCATATAATGCAGTTGTTGATGTTTTGATATAGCTATTGTTATCGAAATATAACCGGTGTGGTTGAAATATAGCTTTTGTTATTGAAATATAACCGTTGTGGTTGAAATATACCTGTTGATGTTGAAATATAGCTGTTGATGTTGAAATATAGCTGTTGGTGTTATAATGTTGATGTTGATTTTGAAATATAGCTGTTGGTGTTATAATGTTGATGTTGATTTTGAAATATAGCTGTTGATGTTGAAATATAGCTGTTGATGTTGAAATATAGTTATTGATGTTGCAATATAGCTGTTGATGTTGAAATATAGCTGTTGGTGTTATAATGTTGATGTTGATTTTGAAATATAGCTGTTGATGTTGAAATATAGCTGTTGATGTTGAAATATAGTTATTGATGTTGCAATATAGCTGTTGATGTTGAAATATAGCTGTTGGTGTTATAATGTTGATGTTGATTTTGAAATATAGCTGTTGATGTTGAAATATAGCTGTTGATGTTGAAATATAGTTATTGATGTTGCAATATAGCTGTTGATGTTGAAATATAACCGTTGTTGAAATATAGCTGAATATAGCAGTTGATGTTGCAATATAGCGGATGATGTTGCAATATAGCTGTTGATGTTGAATATAGCTGCTGATGTTGAATGTAACTGTTGATGTTGAAATATAGCTGTTGGTAGCTCAAGGGACCACCCACTGATTAACATTGCGAAAGTTGATGGTGCAAAATTAAGTTTATGATCATCAGTAAAACTGAGCAAAAGAAATAATTAAAGAGTTTCTTGAGCTCTTACATCCGGAAATTCGTCAAATACAGCAATCAGTAAAAAGGAACAATTTAGGCAACAACAGAATACAGAAGAACGACAAAATTAAAGGAACTTACATAGTGCAACAAGCGTTCATTCTCAAGTAAACTTAGAAACGTAGAATATCAAGGTATTTTCTTTTATGACGTCTTAGTTCAATTGCGTTGTTGGAGATTGACAATCAAATCGTACCTAAACTTTAAATAAAATGTACCCACGGTTGCACTTTCCTCCTTTTAATCAGCATCCTTAATCAGTACAGAGTGACATCGATTCGTAAACCGGTTGATACAAGCATTGATGCATTGTATAGGATGGGAAAAATTCCATTAGTTTCATGATGGATTTTGGAGATTTGCAAATGTCACTGGTAAAGATTAGTCTCAAAAGGTTGATTTGTGTTTCGTGTCGGGGCTCATGAAATAGCAAAGCAAAGCAAGGGTAGAGGAGGTACTTTCGGCACTGCACTGCAACCATAAAGATAGCGTCGACAAAATGGATGTTCAAAATACTCAAAAGGAAAATTGACTTTCGGGCGAAAATGCTTTAAGTTTCTCGTAACATGTAGAAACAGTCATATTTAGCGTGGAGAAACTAATAGATTATCGAGGCCTCTTTCTACCAACAGATTCAATGTATTGGCATTGATCCTTCCTGTTTACCAACAGATGACGTAAGTAATCTGAAGTAACTTTCGTTCTAAAAGAATGGGACAGTTTCGATTATTAACTGACCAGACAAACTAAAGGAAATGAAAAGCTGATTTTCTTCTAACTTTCTTTAATTAGAATCCTTGTCCATGCTTAATAACATTGTTATCCAATATGCACCCTCAGACATGGTAGGTGTTAATAGAAACACGTATAGCTCTTAGAGAAATGAAGTAAGTAACAGACTCGGCTAAGAAATATAGGCTACCATGATGTTGGAAACCTCACCAACAATATCGAGATCGAGTTGACAAACTTTGTTGGAGAATGGCGTCAATTGTCTCAAAGGGTGCTGCACTACCTAGAAATTTTTGCACTTAAGCTGTATGACAGTAGACACCTGGATTTCAAAGTCACACCCTCCCCTATATTTATTGGTGGGATGTGTTCAGGGCATGAGGAATCACCAATCTCTGGATTCTATTGTAATTACAGATGTATAAACCTCTATTACGGTGTAGTTATCTTATCAGTTTATTGTAAATGACAAATACTGAAAAGTATATAAACTATAAAAGGTCGACAGATTTAGAACAGTTCAGACTCAAGCTTGTTCTTTTACTATCGCATCACTCAATTTTGAAATGTAAAATATAAAAAAATCTTTCTTTCGTCACATTTCGAGTTTTTCCTCAATTCCCAATTATAGAATTAATAGAAGTATATTTTTTATTTCCTTTGTTAACATCAGTGAGGTCGTGTTCTCTATTACTATCAGCTTGTTACATTCAGATTGTAACAAATGGGAAAAGATTGAAGTCGTCCAAATCATTCGTTGTACATGACATCTCCTATGTTAGAGAGAATCGTTTTCAAATAGACACATTTTTAAGGGAAGTCTGGTAGAGTACATAATTTATATGACTGTTCAGTGCCGATAATCAAAAAACTTTATTGGGTTGGTTAAAAACGACTGTAATACCCCGTGAAACACTTAATTAATTACCCGACATTAACGAAATAGGCATATGAAGCCCATGGCGTAGCACACCGAAGACCTCTGCCTCAAGGAGCTTCGGACCCTCGAGCCTCGCCCTAGAGAGAGACTTTTCCTCGGGAATTTTCTGGATGAGGCCCCAGTAAGAAACGCATACATGTATCCATTCAAAAATCTTTTTAATCATTCCACATTCCATTGATTTAGACTTTCTTTTTTCATAATGATTTCAAATAAATTATATTATCATATAAACATAGTTTTCAATATAAAATAGCAAACTTTACCAGATGAAGTATATTATCAACTCACAAGCTGATCATAAAATTATGACTCATGGTTTTAGATGGGTTTCTCTTTTGGCCAATTGAGAAATTTCTGTTAATTTCAGTTCAAGATACCCATGATAATAAGTAGCCTACAATATGCAGTAGATTTGGCTCCATTTCAAAAGCAATTGAGTTGATGTTGACTCATTCTGTTATAAAAGTTTAGTCATAAAAATGACTTTATGTTTTTATCGATGAAGACTGATACACAAACTTTCCATTTTGTCCATTTAATTACCAAAATCCATTTAGAATTGCTACATATTGATAAATTTAGTTTGCCATTAAAAATATTTCCAAGACTTTGATGTATCACGAGGGAACAACAATATTTCTTTTAAAAGCTGCCAGAAAACAACATTCTTCAATTTCTCAAAGGCTTTCATTCCATTTCTTTAAAAAAAAAAAGGTCCCGTGTAGCTACATGTATTTATATTTCAAAAGATGCAGGAGTTGTTTGTCTAAGCACATAAAAGAGTCTTTATTTATTTATTTTATTATAAAGCTATCTGTATATAACTGTAAATGTCGTGGCCTCTGGTGTGTCTATGATAGACAGTGATAGACATACTTTAAGTGACTTAAATAATCCTTTTTGTGATTGTGAATTTTATATACATAGTAGGCGTTTTTGATATACATAGCTATAGCTAAGCCTAAATAGTCGGCGTTGTTGATGCTCGTGATATAAATAGTCGGTGCTCGTGATATAAATAGTCGGTGCTCGTGATATAAATAGTCGGTGCTCGTGATATACATAGTTGGTGCTCGTGATATACATAGTTGGTCTTATCCATAATCTTAACTCATGATAGTCGCATAATTATATATAATTATCAATGCTGAATATATATAATATTAAACATCAAGGAAACGTTATTAGCTATACGAAAACCCTGAATGGGAGGCTAAGTTGGCACACCTGGTCACCTACGAGGTGTTGGGTATTACGGAAGTGTCCATATTTTGCCTATACCACCAGGGGTACCAGATAAATCAGTATCAATGATAAGGAATGGTAATTTACGTCATACTTTTCTGCAGCAGATTGGACCAATGAAGACTGAAAATATTGAAAGACTTTGGACTTGACTGAAATAATAAAAATGTTGTTGTTATTTACGGGTGCTTTTGGGTGAATACTAATGCAATAAGTAATTTATTACCAAATTTAATCAAGTTATAAGACAAGAGCCAGTGTATAAAAGCCGTATATTTTAAAACCTTCATCAATCTTAGTGAAATAAGATTAAAATTGATATTCGAGGCTAGTTCTACTCTAGTAAATGAGAAGACAATATAAAAGTTTTGGTTTTAACAATGAAATATAAGTTTATGGCCGTTCCTGCATTAAAATAAGAATATGGGTGTTTGATGTGAGATGAAGAACACTTTAGTAAATGAAAGTTGATGAGAGAAGATAGTAAGAAAGAATGATAAGGTGAAGATGAATGAGTCCCAGTGGTGTTTATTCATTCATCATTGTCACCAGGACATGTTATTAAGATGTAAGATTTGGAGATATTGGAGACACTATTTAAAGATTAAGATAAATCTAACTAAGATCAATGATGATTTTGTTTTTGATTATTCCTATATTGTCTTTATATACACCCTCTATTAAAATTCACTCCTGGGCTGGAATTTTGTTTACTTGTTACTTGGATTTTTTCTTGATGTGCTGCACCAGTGGTGAAGCTGTGATTTCATTGACGGACGGCCATCTTCGAACCTAAGCCTCCCTTGTGTACTTTAGAGGGTATAGGCGCACTAGTCTTGGTGGAGGGGGGGGGGGGGGGGGGGTCAAATCTTCTATTCAAGGAAGACGAGATTTAGGCAGTGAAAGTAGAATTAATTTACGTTTTTTTTGTCCCGAGGCGAGCAATTTATACCTTTAAGGTCATTTCGTATTAAATTCACAAAATCAAAAGCCAAAACAAAAATACGAAGTGAGTGCAATAATCATGTTTATAAACAGATTGAACCGTGTTGAATGGATTAACGTTGATCTCTAGATGCGATAATCCATATTATGACAATCGAACTAATGAGATAATTTGTTATTAATCACAGAGGGTAGTCAGGGTAGCAACCGAGGTAATCAGAGAGTAGTCCTATATAAGATTTCAGATCAACTGAGCTCAACATTCACTCTTCGGTTTTAGCTCCCGATCTCAACTAGAATTCCAGCCTTTTACCAACTTTGTAAGTTGAACAACCACCGTCAACATGAGAGAAATCGTTCATATGCAGACTGGTCAATGTGGCAACCAAATCGGTGCCAAGGTAAGTTTATTCTTTTAAACTAAAACTCCATTGGGTGTATTCTGACGACGAGAAACTATCATTGGATACGGTTTATTGAACTTAATTCTAAACTGTCAGGACAATTTTTGTTTGTGTTATTCAGTTTTATTACGGCTTTTCATCTAAAGAACATTGGTCAGCCATTCACATTTTCAACTTTAAACTTTCATTCGTAATTTTCTTTCTAATTATCTATTTCTTGTGCTGCTTTTTCGTTTTGAATTCGCCTTTCCGTAGGGGAGTTTGATATGGTGTTGTTGATTCTGAAAATATGGTTGAGGCATATTCGATTATATGTTTGCATTTGGCTTGTTAGCAAATTGCTGTTTTTTCACGTTTATCTTTTTCTTTCAGTTTTGGGAGGTGATCTCTGATGAACATGGTATTGACCCAACAGGAACTTACCACGGTGATTCTGATCTTCAGTTGGAGAGAATCAACGTTTATTATAATGAAGCTACCGGTGGTAAATATGTACCAAGAGCAGTTCTCGTCGATTTGGAACCTGGTACTATGGATTCTGTAAGATCGGGACCATTTGGTCAGATCTTCAGACCAGATAACTTTGTCTTTGGACAATCTGGTGCCGGTAATAACTGGGCTAAAGGTCATTACACTGAGGGAGCTGAATTAGTGGATTCCGTCCTTGATGTTGTCCGAAAGGAAGCTGAAAGTTGTGACTGCCTCCAAGGATTCCAGTTGACCCATTCTCTTGGCGGTGGAACTGGTTCTGGTATGGGAACTCTCCTCATCAGTAAAATCCGTGAAGAATATCCAGATAGAATTATGAACACCTTCTCTGTCTGTCCTTCACCAAAGGTAAGAACAAGTTATAATCGCTTTGATACCTTCTATAGATTAGACAGACACGATTAGCAAGACTACCAATATGTTATATTTCAAGCTTAAAACAATTCTGCATCGCCTATGCGAATGATCGGAATTATTCAAGACGGTGAATTACTCATGAGTATTCTTTCACATTAGAGAACCAGCATTATCAACCCTATCATGATTTTTTTTTTTTGTATTTCAGGTATCTGATACTGTTGTGGAGCCTTACAATGCCACCCTTTCAGTTCATCAACTGGTAGAAAATACAGACGAGACTTACTGTATTGATAACGAAGCTTTGTATGATATCTGCTTCCGTACTCTCAAGCTGACAACACCTACATATGGTGACCTTAACCATCTGGTATCAGCCACCATGTCTGGAGTGACCACCTGTCTCCGATTCCCTGGTCAACTCAACTCGGACTTGAGGAAGTTGGCTGTCAACATGGTACCGTTCCCACGTCTCCATTTCTTTATGCCTGGTTTTGCCCCTCTTACATCAAGAGGATCTCAACAATACAGAGCTTTGACTGTTCCTGAACTCACTCAACAGATGTTCGATGCCAAGAACATGATGGCTGCCTGTGATCCTCGTCATGGTCGTTATTTGACAGTAGCTGCAATGTTCAGAGGTCGTATGTCCATGAAGGAGGTGGATGAACAAATGTTGAACGTACAAAATAAGAACAGCAGCTACTTTGTTGAATGGATTCCGAACAATGTTAAAACTGCTGTTTGCGATATTCCACCAAGAGGTCTGAAGATGTCAGGAACATTTATTGGTAACACCACTGCCATTCAGGAACTGTTTAAGAGAATCTCAGAACAATTTACAGCTATGTTCAGACGAAAGGCTTTCCTCCATTGGTATACTGGTGAAGGTATGGATGAGATGGAATTTACTGAAGCTGAATCCAACATGAATGATCTAGTATCTGAATATCAACAGTACCAGGATGCTACAGCTGAAGAGGAGGGAGAATTTGACGAAGAAGAAGGAGAAGGCGATCAAGAGTAGAACTTAAAATTATTTTATAAAAGTATTTAATTATATTTATTTGGTGAAAGGGATACAGTCGTCTAGATATATTTCCTACCAGTTTATAGAGCTCTTCCATGGCATATCAGTAATTTAGGCATGGCGGAATGTAATGCTCGGTAAACGGGGGTTCTGAAGGGCTAGCTGATTGGAGCTCTCTATCAGTATGTGGACATGTATGTCGACGACGATATCTCTTAAACCATAGTAAATTGTTGTAAATTTTAAAGAATGGCTGAAATTGGTTGCATTAAAGACAAACTTGAAAATGAAATTAAACCTGAACGTTGTGTGATCACTTCCACAAATTATTTCGTTCATACACATTGGAGGGAAGAATACCCCCAACCTTAAGGTTTTGACCTATCGGTCTTGCAGATCGACATAAGGTTTAAGGCTCTAAACAGAGGACAAAAAGTTTGAAGCATTGGCGGCGTTCAACATCCAATTGCAGAAGCGCTATGGAGGGCTATTGGAGCCAGCCTTGCATTGAGGGTCTATTTTAGGTTAAAAACACATTATATATATCTTGGAAAATTTTCAGAAATGATTTTTGTGCAATATAAACGATATTTCTTGGGCACAAAAAGCTGGTAGTGTACTCTCTAGTATTCTATACTAGTAAATGAATTATGTAGAAATGATGCGATTATATTATTTATTACTAGTGGAGTACTGGTTTCCGGTATTTATGAACAGTTTCATTTCCGACCATCAAATAAATTAACAGTAAACATGATCAGCAATGATATACTCCTGATAGTCATTATGGCCAGATTAATGGAAGCAAGTGAGCATTATTTAGGCTATTAAGCATTTAACACAGCTCCTACAACAATACACGACAGACCGTAGAGTAGTTGGAGTAAATTTGACAAATACTCAAACTTTAGAAGCGTCCTTTTTTAATCGTGTTTTTCAAATCCAGCAAAACAACTGTTTAGATGTCTATGGACGTTGTGGGGTTTAACATAAAAATATTTTCTCACCTGGTATCGCTTTGCTTACTTTGATGTTTGTCCTCAGTGGTGAAATGATAGGCCATGCCCCCTCCCCTTTAGTACTATGAAAGGTCAATTTTAAAGTCCTAAATGAACAAAATTTATCTCAGGCCATCTGAAACCATTGGCTTCTTGGTGCCTCTGGCAGCTCTTGGGGAATTCGACACTTCAATGGCTTTGTCCCCTGCCACCACTTAAAGATAGCTTGCCAGGCAAGGTAACATACGCCCACTGGCAGCTGTCAGAAATGATTAAACAGTCTTTAGTGACTACAGGGTTGCACAATATAGCTAATAGAGTAAAACGTCAAGTCAGATACGATATTTCGGTAAAAAATTATCCGATCATCACGAAAATCATTAGGGATCATCTTCATAATGACATTGACACATAAAATAAAAATCAAAAGAATCCATAAAGAACTGTAGCATGTAGAGTGAGCACGAGCCAAATGTGAACGGACGGACGGACCGACGGGGTGATTACAATATACGCCCATCTTACGTCTGGGCGTATAAAAATTCTATTATCATTTTAAATAGGGAAATAATGATCCTTGCTCTAGAGTTTCCTAGTAACGACACCGCGACACTTCGGGCCTCTACAAGAGGGGTACCTCTCATACAACGATTGGAATCTCACGTCTTTCTAGGCATACATTCTGACTATAAAAAATACCATTATACCCAGCAATGATGTACTACAATCTGCAAGTAAGTTGGACATCATTTTGTTTAAGGTTTCATGTCAGACAACACAAAGAAAATGAAAACGATACTGGTACTTAAATTTATTTATCCCAAACAATTCAAGGTTTCTTCATAAATTCATTTATTTATTTGGGGTTTTCTCCAGAAAATAAATCATTTGAAAGTTAATTTGCATATATTATAATAAAGGGCGGGAAATAACTGCGAAGTAAAGAGATACTATATACAATTGATAGGAAACAAAAATTAACCTTATTATACATTGGTTTTCATTGTAAAATTACAAAACTTTCATCTCTTTGGCACTTAAACTACACTTCACTACAAACTATTCTAGTTAGAAATTTCAATTAATTTTCTATGGAGCTATGCTGATCTAAAGCAATCGACTTGAGAAAGATACTAACGGCATTGGACCTATATTGCTCCATAGAAATGTGAAGAAATTCCACCCTAAATTATAGGTTACGAGGAATTTCCTTTTTTTCATTTCAAAATGAAACTTTTTTGTTTTTCTATGAACAAATCAATTTCCTCTTACTTATAATTTGATAAAATGTACAGATATTTTAGAGATAATCTGGTAGTATATAATGTGGTTTTAAATGAGTATTAAATTCATCAATATATATTATGATACATCAAAGTGAAAAAACATGCTCTTTGACTAAAATAAACTAACTAACTTGAAATTATTAATATATCTCACAACCTTGGGCTTGTTTACAAAAACACAGAAATACAGACAGAATAGGTGCAATTTTCAATACTTTATAAATTATTATATTTTAACGAATTACTCATTTTGTTACATATTATTTCCGTTATATATTATATTGTTTAAACTAAATAATTTTAAAATATTGAGAATTGTGCCTAAGTGGGCTCGTAGAATAGTGAATATCTATTAGGCAAGATAATAACACTACCGGTATATAATAAATAATGTTATTATAACTTCTTATCATATTGACCTCAATTCTAACTTCCAGGGGCAACAATTGATTAATCTTAGTTCATTTCAGACTTTTTGATTTCTTTAAGTCTTGCAGTTTTTCCAACAATAAATTATAAATACAGTATTTTAAACAAAGGAAGGATAATTTCATGTTGAAATTTGGCTTCCTTGTTTTTTTCTGATTTCATAAAAAATATAATGGAAAAATCAAATGTCAACTAAAGCATCAACTTTCATTAGACTACAGAGAAATTTATAATGACATTTTTGATAAATTGGATATCAAAATTCATGTTATAATAAAGAAAATGCTTGGCCTAATCTTCTATTTTACTGACAGATATTTTTCTTGCTATGGGAAAAATATGAACAGAATTTTCCAAAACACAGTAGGGTTGGGTATTCATTATCAAATTGAGATTGATTATCGACGGCAAGCTACAAATTGATGATCAAATATTTTAATTGAGAAATTTTCTAAAAAACATGGCCGAATTCTTCATTTTAAGGGTTATTTTTGTGTCATAGAAGTATACTAATATGAATATTAATTGCTGTGATGTGATATTAATTTAAAGTGGGTAGTTATGTGATGAATTGATTATCTATTATTTCAATTATTTTACCCATCCCCAAAACACAGCTGATTTGCAAAATGACTGACTTATTTCAAGTAACAATGCAGTGTAAGTGATGTCATAAAACCCAGGCTGAATTCTATGACAAACTTGATTTTGAAAGCTAAAGGCGTGTGCCTCTGCTTTTGGTATGGATTAGGGCAAGCGTTTCAAAATTGATTTGTATACTTCAATATGTGCACCAAGTTAGGAAGGAATGTGTAACGAAATAGATCAAAATACAATATACATGTAGTGATAACATATAGATATCATTGCTTTACATACAAGTCTTCATTAGCTACTGTCCTTGATGCTGTTGAGAATTGTCTGAAAATTTTAAAAATAAAATGCATCTAATTCAAATGCTTAAAATCTAAAAATAAAAAGTAATAATAATTCAGATGAATATTGAACATTGTATATCATATAGATGAAACTAGTGTGAGCCACAGATTGACCTAAATATCTATATTAATATAGATGATATAGACCTAAATTTGTAGTTCTTATCCAGAAAATGGCAACTAACAACAAATCCACAATCCAATATTTACATCACATCACCTATATATCAATATTCAATTTGACAAATTAAAGATCATGTTTCATATAGTTAAATAGGATAACAGATAAGAACAATAAAAACAGGCGTTACCTTTACAGACTCCACAAGCTAAGTCATTGAATGACATTTACTGACAAGAATATTAACTTATCTAATCAAAGGTTCAAAGAATACTAATCAAGCTACTAATGGTGCAGGCACACGAATAGTCTTGGTCAACGATTTTTGTTGCAGACTTGAGTCTTGAGTCTCAAAGTTTAATCTACCGGATGCGGGCACACGAGGAGACAAAAATCTCCACACTATCGTGTTCCACTGTGTCGATAATCTTGAAGATCATGTA